ACGTTAGTATAATAGTATTCAGACTGTATGTAGGGTGCTATGGGGCCCTTCTTAGGAGAAAATGGGTGAAGAGATGCACCAACAGAAAAGAAAGAAATAGGAAAGAGGCTGCTTCGAAGCCCAAACCAACCAGCACACCACAGCTTCTCTTCCTTCCGGTCTTTATTGGGAAATGACTTCAGACTTACAGAAAGCTGTCAAGCACAGTGCAGTGAAAAGATGACCCACGATGCTTGACCCCCCTTTCCTGCCTTCTGCCCTCCCCACTCCTTTCTTTTCACGTAACCAAGTTTTGGGGAGTTAAGTTTGTACAAACCATGCTTCATTATCTATAAATACATCAGTGCACATTTCCCTAGGAAAAAATCATTCTTTTATATCACTGAAGTTAAAAAAAGGAAAAACCTAACATAGGTGTCCCTACATGAGAGGCCTGGCCGCCACTGTCAGTGCCACCCAGCTAAGAGCTTGCTCCCTGGCCTTTCCAAGGAGACCCTCCCTGATTACAGTGGGAGATTATTGCTTCCCTACTTCCTAAACATGATAAAGTTTCATTCTAAAGTAAAAATTTCAGTGACAATGGGTATTATTTCTAAAAGTTTAAGTCAGACACAAGTCATTAACTTAGATTATCTTGTAGAGGAAGAGACAAACTTCCTGAAGTACACACAGTCCTTCTGGTCCTAGAAGCGAAGTTGATGTTACCCACCAACATACTTTCCACTTTGCTATTCCACTGTTACATACAGCACACACTTTCAGTAACAATGCTATAGAAATCAACCCAATATTCAAAACTGGTTGCTCCAAAAAAAAAAACCACCCAACAAATAATAATTTGTCTTCTTGTATAGAACACTCTCCTAGACACTCTTAACTAGAATACTCACCATTTGCTTTTCTCAATTAAGTTTTTTTAAAGAACAAATGAACAAAAAGCCCTTAGCAACCACAGATAATAATCAACATCAAAGAGATTGCCACAAGCTTTTCAGGTAAGCAAGTGCTTAACGCATTCAGCACAGAAGCTCACCCCCCCCCCCGCCCACTCCGTGCTCATTCCTTAATATATAATCCAGGTGGCTGCATTTCATCAATAAGGGTTAAAGGTCTTCTCACCAAAATATATAGCAAATTCTAGGACTTACAGTTTGCCCACAGCAAACTCAGTATGTTTTTACTATGTATTTGATAAGGCCTTAAGTTTCTTAATCTACTAAACTAGTCTTTTTCTAAAACCACGAAGCATTCTTCAAACTCTCAAAAGTATAGTTTCCAATAGCCATATTGAGGGCTCGTGGGTAGCTGACTTTTGCCCCGAGTGTCTGTTTTTCATTAAATCACTTGGTTTGGGGAGGTTGGGGTTTTTTAGATTTTTTGAGACGCTTCTAAACTGCAGATTCAAAGCATTTGTCAGCATACTGAATAGTAAACGTTCACAAGACACAATAATGAGGCGTCTCATTATATAAGAAATCAACACCAAATGCTGGTGAGGACTCCAGACGAAAGGATCATCTGCTGCTGGGGAAACGGCTCAATCGATAAAGGGCCTGTCCCGTAAGTACAAACAACTTTGTCAGCACCATGGCCTGAATTTGGATCCTCAGCTACCAATAGAAAAGCCTGACACAACCCGGCACTAGGAGGACTCCAGGCAGGAAGATCCCTGAAGCTCACTGGCCAGCCAGCCTAACAAAATCAATGAGCTCCATCGCTGCAGACCGGACGGCAGGGGAATGGCACACAGACACAGCATAAAAAGCTGGGATCGGGTGGGCTGTGTACTCTGCGGCAGACACTCCAGCAGCAGGGAGGGAAGAGCGGTTGGCTAATCTAGGTAGGAGGTCCCTGGGGGGAAGCAATTTCAGGTCGCAGACATCCAGGAGCTAAAGATCAACCATTTATAAACATCTGTACTCTGACCAGGGAAAGACTACACCAATGCTCTGAGACTGATGTGGGGAAGACATGGCCATTCCCACGAATCTGAGACTCTGGGGTCCTTGATATTGTCTTCCTGCTTTTGTCAATGATACACATTCACTCACTCAAAACTTCACCACACTCCATGTTCAGAAAGGGACTCTGATTTAAAAAAAAAAAAAGCAGAAAACGCTTGAGGAAGACTCGTATGTGGACCTCTGACCTACACACACATGCACACACACGCGCGCGCGCACACACACACACGTTGGGGGTGTTATATATTATTGTTAGGAATGTAAATTAGAGTAGCCGTTATGGAAATCAGTATCAAGTTTCCTTAGAAAAACTGACGACAGAAGAGCCGTTTGATCCGCTATACCACTCCATGGTAGATACTGGATGGAAACTCGACATTCAACCAAGATGCCCGCATGCTTGTGTTTGTTGTGGCACTGTTTACAAGAGACGAGCCAAGGGATCAGTCTAAATCAATACATAAATCAGTAAAGACAATGCATCTACACACAATGGAATTTTATTCTACCATAAATAAGAATAGAGTTATGGAAAGTGGATATGACTAGAGACCATCATGTTAAGTGAAATAAGCCAGACTCTGAAAAACAAACATTATGTTTTTTTAAATGTCCAAACTATATTTTTTAACATAGAAAGTATAAAAGAGAATTAGTTGAAGAGAGAAAGAGGATCAGTAAGAGGGAGCAGACGAATAAGTGGAGGTCACTGAGGGAGACAAGAACATGGCACATATGTACTAAGATGTCATCATGAAACCTATTCTTTTGTACAATTAATATGCACAAATAAAAATAGTAAAAAGTAACAATTAATTCTTCTAACACATAGTATTTTCCTTAAGGATAAAATATGTACATTGAATTGAAACATTTTAACTGTCTTTGGTGCCTAACCTGCTTTAAAGTTATTAAAAGTTATTAATCTGCTTAAAAGAAATCCTAGAGTGTCGTACAAATAATAGATCACATTGGCCAATTCACTTCCCAAGGTTCTCCCTATAGATACAGCAATATATATCTGATTGTAAGTAAAACACACTCTTCAGGGGGAAGTATTATATAAATATTGTAGTTGTTTGTTATTTTCATTGTAGTGTTAGTTGTCTTTAACATTAGATTCGTTTTGAAATTTAATTAAATTGAAATTTTATGTGTCTTTTAATACACAAAACAAACTTATATTCGACAGCTATAATGAAATGATTTGCTGTTCTTGAAGTCTAGTCATGTCCATGAATTAAATAGTGTCATGAATGTTTTGGAAGTAGCTAACTGCCTCCTGATTGTATTTAAGGCCAGACCCACTAGAAAAAAATACATGCTTGGTACTGTTAACCTGACCAAGAGCCTACAGTTAGGGAGCCCAGAGGCTCCAGGGGTGAACTAATTATGTTATTCTAGTAAAGGGACACAGTTTCAAACCACCCTCTAAATTCGCATCTCCATACCCACATATTAGCGCACCTCCCGACCTCGTCAGAGATGTTTCTTTGTGCAGTGTTTGATGACTAACAGAGAAACTGGTCAAAGTGGGGAGAATAAATATCGGTGTGGTGGTCGGCCACAAGCGGGGCATCTGCACCGCAACCCTGCCTCAAGGCTCCAGGACCGTCAGAGAAGAGGCAGCAGAACTAAGGAAACTGGGAAGTAGGAGTGAAATCTGGAAAGAGTTGGGGGAGGAGTGTGAATGAATATGATCAAAATATGTTCTATGAAATTCTGTTGATAAAATATTTTTAAAAATTAGATTGTATAAGATAAAATATGTTACAGTGTTTAGTCTTTTAACACCCAAAACAAACTTATATTCCACAAATATAATGAAATATTATTCACGGTTCTTGAAGTCTAGATCTGCTCTGCTCAATATGGTATTCAGTAGACACATAAGGCAACTGAGTGCTTATAATGTATCTGGTCCAAATTGGAGCTTCTCACAAGAATGTGATATACACGGTATTTCAAAGTTTAAAATAAAAAAGCACAAAGTATTTATGTTGAAATTCATGTTAAGAGAATATTCTTATATATTGGGCTAGATAAAAATATATCATTAAAATTTATTTCACCTGTTTCACTCTCCTTTTATAAAACAGATTGCAGAATGTTTCTAACTATAGATGTGGCTCACGTTCGTCACTTGGGTTTTACTCCTGTTGGAGACTCACACAGACAGCAGTCACAGTGGTAAGGCCAGTTTCTAGCACAAGAGGAAACCTAGACCAATTCAGCCTGTAATGAGTAAAGTATTGACTCTAACACACTAATATTGCCTTAACTGTCTTAAATGTGAATGTCAGGGTATCATTTAACATAACCAAAGTTCATAGATTTTTCTTTTACCTAACTTCTATAAACTATACTGAATATTATTACAACATTTTAGTATCTATGGAAAATGTTTATTTAGATATTATTGGAAATATTAAATTCACACTATTTAGAATGGAAACCATTATACTACTATGGGAAACCAGTGCATGGTACATGGTGTTGCTATGTGTCTCAGAGAAGGCATCCCGTTGGGTAGGATACATTTGCACCCAGAGTACGATTCCAAGACTATATCACCTGCCAAAACAAGGTTGAATAAATTTGCCAGTAACCTCTTAGAAATCAGAAGTACACAGAGTCTGAACATCATCTAAATGGGCCTCACTCTGCATCACAGGCCTTTGGGAACTCATAAAAACACAAAGATCATAAAGTTTACTTTGCTTTGAATGATAAACTAAATCTATGTGAACTCATGATTTCCTCACCACACAAACCTACAAAAATGTGGTGAGCCACTCAATCAACTGCCCGTTCTTATGAACTGGCTGACACATTCCCTTTTATATTCTCAGTCCTCATACTTCATGCAAGCACCACTACATAGTGGTGCCCTGGTCTCACCTGTCTATCAACCTTAATTCCTGCTCCACATGTAGCAAACCAGTCATTAAAGTCCCAATTCATCTGTCCCATAAATATCTCAAAGTCTCTCTATTCCTACCATCTACCCTAATTCAAGTTATTTTCATCTCTCACCTATGGGCCTAATTTGTGTCAATGTCTCCAGCATTATTCTGTTCACTCCATTCTTCATATTGCAACTAGAACTGTCTCATTCATCATTTACTTGCTTTCAGGATGAAGTCCAAACTTCTTAGGATGATAAAGCATTTCAAGGTGAGGACTTTTATAGAATCTTCCCTGGAATTCCATTTGTGATTAGTAGATCTAGAAGAGAACAGGAAAGAAGCAGACAAGAGATTAGACTTGATGCTAATATAGAAGACTGAAGCAAAGGATAAGTTGGATACCATGGCACATGAAGAGCACTCTAGGAGGGCTGGCCTCAGTGCACCTGCTATAGTTCCTTTCTTCCTATGAATATGAAGAGTTTATGACTGCTGTGAAGTGACTGGTTAGATGGGTTATTGTGACCATTTGTACAGATTAAACACCATTTTGTCCACCTAAGTGCATATAATTCATACTTATCTTATACCTGAATAAAGCTTGGGAGGTGAGGACATTTGATCCCAACTTCAGACCATGAGTTGTTCTATTAGAATTGACAGCCAAAAGTATACCAAGAATGGCTGTGATGCCTTCATTACTTTATTTGTCATTCTTTATTCTGGTAAAATAATGAGGCTCTAAGCAAATACTGACTTCTTGTATCAAGATACCAGATGAATGATTAGCTCATTTTGGTTCCTGGCACCCAAAGAATAAGTAGCTGTGGGGTGCTCAGGGATGTCTATATGATATCACACTTCCAAGGCGCAGGGACTATCATGGAAGAGGAGGCAGAAAGATTTTAGGAGCCAGAGGTCAAGGATGAACAGACTGAAACAGTATCTTCTGGACATGACAGGATGCTGCTCTCATGAAGTCACAGCAGTGATGGTCACCTGCACAAGATCTGCACAAGATCAAACCAGTCACCATTCTAGTTCACAAGCCCCACCCCTTACTGAGGAGATAATGTCAGCTGATGGCTTCTGGGAAAGAGTCAGTTTTCTCTAAAGGAGCAGCTCCACACTCAGGAGTTAGGGGAGGAATAGAAGACAAATATGATCAAAATACATTATATGAAATTCTCAAATAATTAATAAAAATATTTTAAGTGATGAGTTATACATTAAATTATACTCTGTCTTTGCAGGTATAACACAAAATATACTAAGCATTCCCATTATGATAAGTCAGTCTGTATTCACAAGTGTAGCCTTTTCTCTTAGGTAATATCCCAAACATTTCTTACAGTGTTAAGGGCTAGATGTAGCTGCAATGTGATCATCTAAATTTACTTCTTTATTGAAAAACCCTACTTGGAAAAATATGCTTCAAAACTACAAAACACCAATACCAAACTATTCACCAACCATATTTTCCAAATGTTTATCTTCCAGTATTTTTATCAAATTACTTCTTTTGCATACTTTAGAAATAACAATAGAACAATACAATTAAATAGAAATAATCAAGTATAGAAAATTTGCTATTGCTCTTATTACTTTACTGACAATTCTATCAAAACCCTCAGCCATTGTAAAAGGCAAGCCCACACATTTTTGCAGAATTGTGTTTTGTCTGCTCTGCTGCTTTGAATACAGCAGAAGGAACAAAGTTAAGAAATTCTGTTTCCAGAGGCCTGCTGACATCACTGATTGCTGTTTTGAATAAACAAGTAAATACTTTATAGAGCTGTGTGTTAATACCAAATATCAGAGAATTAAAATGAGAAGTATCTTGTGGAAACAATGTTTTAATGACACATGGTATATTTATTTGTCACCAAAAGTAAATAAAAGACAAATTTGCATATCCATAATTCTAGGTGATTAGCGTTCCAACTTGAAATTTCAGGAGATTCTGATAGGGTAGTAGGAAGGGCAGTGGGCAAATTTCAATGATTTCAAAGATGTTTTTTTGTTGCAAATTAAGGTCCATTAAAACCTCCTACACACAAATGTTCATTTTCTCTTCTCTGGGATTTTAAGTTAGAAATGGATGACTTCTTCATGACAATCATGTGCATCCTGAGCTTTTTAATATTTAAGTTTAGTAAAACCCCAAACACATCTGGCCAGAACTTATTTTGAGCCATTTCTAAAATTTTACACACAGGCATATTTCAAAAGCAAGTTATCCCACATGTTTCTAATTAATTTACACTTTTATCATCAAACATTTGTTCCTCAAAATTTATTTGCATATTGTCCAACATGCTTTATGAAGCTTGCCTTCATATAGATTACCATAATACACTCTAATTTTAGACTCTGAAATCTCCTACCTGAAAATTACTAATTCAGTTCATGCAGAACTTACATTTGGCAAAAACACTTCCATATTCTCAACTACATTTTCTTTAGTGTAGCTGAAAGTTTTCCTGTGTCCGACCTGGCCTGCAGCCAGGACGAATCTCTCTCACCCGCCAGTCCAGCAGCAGCTCAGACCCAAATAAACACACACAGGCTAATATTATTTTTAAACTATGGCTATTGCAGGCTTCTTGTTATCTAGTTTTTATATCTTAAATTAACACATTTCTATAAATCCATACTTTGCCACATGGCTTGTGGCTTACCAGTACTTTTACATCTTGCTTCTCATGGTGGCAATTGGCAGCGTCTCCTCTGCTCTGTCTGTCTCCTTCCTCTCTCTCTAGTTACGGCTCAGACCAGAGCATGTGGCCAGAGTCTTTTTGGCTTTCTTTCTCCTGGTGAGTGGTAGACTCTTTCTCTCTGGATTCCCATCTCAAACTGCTACCACACTAGGTAGCTGTTTTGAAATTAAATAAATTAAATTAAATTTATTAATTAAATACTGAAACCAGACTTCTACTGTTCTATGCAGTTGACAGACTTGGTAAGTCAATTAAAATATCTTAAAAGTTGAAATTAGATCATTTTTTTTTGGTTTTTCGAGACAAGGTTTCTCTGTGTAGCTTTGCGCCTTTCCTGGAACTCACTTTGGAGACCAGGCTGGCCTCGAACTCACAGAGATCCGCCTGCCTCTGCCTCCCGAGTGCTGGGATTAAAGGCGTGCGCCACCACCGCCCGGCGAAATTAGATAATTTTTTCCCACATTAAAAAATAAGAAACATTTCTACAAGGGAAGGAATTTGATCTCTGTTTGATAACACATTAGGGAGTCTGAAAATGGAACAATTAAATGAGAGCATAACTAATGTTGACGGGATATACCTAACATTAATTATAAATATTATTTGTTTAATCATTTTTATTTTAGCATTAAAAAGGTTGGTCAATTTAAGTGCCAAGATAAAATCTTTAGAAAAATCTGTTAAAATGAATCATAAAATGAATTCAGACCCAGACAGGAGAATTTAAAGGTGAACCTAACTCAGGATTGACTTTAGAAAAACCTGTTAAAATAAATTATAGAGAAATTCAGAACCAGACAGAAGAATTTAAAGTGAAATTATTTCAGGACTGAATTATATGGTTACAGAGAGACAGTCTGTTTTCAAACAACCAAACTTAATCTATCAAGTAACCTCACAGGAACTACCTGCTTAAGATAGTTCCACTCCAGTGGAAATGTTAGATTTAAGGAGATTTAAAGAAGTATAGTCATGCATTCTCCATTTGTAAAGAAGATGTTAAACTCGTGGTCAACTTGTAATAGAATTATCCCTCAGGCCTAGAAAGAGTTAATTACAGCTGTCCTGGAGGCCAGTCCACAGTTAAAATGGAGAATGTGGTTTAAAGAGGAGGCTAAAACAATAGAACAACAATGTAGGACTAGAGGTGTGGAAATTTCCCAGGACCAGCTTCTTGAAGAAGACAATTACACTAATATATAAAGATAATTTTTATATGATAACCAAATCTTAATTCTATGCCACATGGCAGCCATGAATGCATGGGACAGAATTGAGAAAGCAGGGAAGAAAATTGAATCATTTACAAAAGTTATGCAAGGCCCAAAAGAATTCTTCACAGATTTCTTACAAAGGCTGTTTCAGCAGTAAATAGAACGATACCAAATTCAGAAGCTAGACAGATAATAATTGAATCTTTGGCTTTTGAGAATGTGAATACAGCATACAAAAGAATAATCAGGCCATTAAAGGCAAGATCAGTACCCTTGGAGGACTGTATCAGGGACACAATTAATATTGAGTCTCATGACCGTAATGATATGTGGATAGGAGAGATGATTTCAAAAGCTCTGGGGAAAAATAATGTCAGATGTTTTGGTTGTGGTAAACAAGGTCATTTGAAAAGGAAGTGTAACAGGGCTTTCTTAGAAAGAATGTTTATTCAAGGAACAATGGCAACAGAATGCCCCTCCCTTCTGGATTATGCTGAAGGTGTGGTAAGGGTAAATATTGAACCAACAAATGTAGATCAATAAGGAACAGACAAGGTAATCCTTTGCCTCTGTCCTTGGAAAACTCCCAGAGGGGCCTCATGCAGGCCCCCCACAGCAGATTCAGTTCAGATTGTTCCTGCCATCATAGAAGAAAACCCTTTCAGAGCAATCAAATAAGCAAGTGCCTATTGGAATAAATCAGGCTGCTCAGGGTAATAGAACAGCTGTATCATATAGAACGGGAAATTCAGGAAAAACCATAAAGCAAATTTTTTGGCAAACTTCTATAAATGAACAAAGACCAAAATTAAACATATGAATAAATGACATTCTCTTGGAAGATATGCTAGACAAGGGTGTGGATGTTACAATAATTGCACCAGAATTTTGGCATACAAATTGGCCTCTTCAGGAGGTAAATGTTCAGCTATTAGGGATTGGAATATTATCTCAAGTGAGACAGAGCACAAGATGGCTTGAATGTATAGGGCCAGAAGGACAGAGAGAAAAATTAAAGCCATATGTGGCTAATATAGCTATGAATTTATGGGGTCATGATCTATTACAACAACAGAATACTCAGATTAACATTCCTTCAACCTCCAGAAACAAACCATAAACTAATACATGTTTCTGAGAGAAATATTAGGTTAGGAGGTATTATTATAAAGAGCAGTCACCAGCCATCCAGATTGTACAAGAACAGGGGGGGGTACAACAATTGCTGATATTTCAAAGACACCAACAGCTCTACCTTTAAAATGGAAAACAGACAAGCCTATATGTATGGGTCCAGCAATGGCCTTTAACAACAGAGAAACTTCAGGGTTTTGAAGAGCTGGCACAAGAGCAATTAAATGCTCATCATATTGAAGAATCAACCT